TTTTTCTAATTTGAAGCCGGGACTATCGGCATGAGACTGGAATTTGGGCTTGGAAGAGCTGTGCTTCGATGACATTTTCACTGGTTGTTTGTCATGTGACCTTCAACAAGCGACACCCTTTCCTTATGCTTTCAGTTTCATCTTTCCTGAAATGGAAGTGGCAGGGCCTGGGCTACTGCAGAGAGCAGAGAGGAGACAGGCTGGGCCATTGGTCCAACTCACCAAGCAAGCAAGCACCGCGCTAGTGGCCGCAGAAAATCAGAGGGACATGAGAATAAAAGAAAGGTCTGGTTAGCACGAGTGGGACCTACCCAGACTCTGGAAATCAGACCAATAGAGAAATAAAGCATTTGTTGTAGCGTATGTCTAAGTTTTGTGTTTTATAGCTTAATGTTGATTTTTATTTTGAATTGCACATGTGGGCATTGGGGATATTATCATCTTGGCAATTCTGGCCTTTACAGAACGAGGACCTTATAGGCGCTCTGCTAATCTTACTTCTTCTAGCCTCCTCCCTAAATTACTGATTTTCAGTTTTTATTATATTTTTAATTGTTTTTTTTTGTCTCAGAAGATTTTTCTCCAAATAAAGTCATAATTGGAAGGCAGTATGCAGAATATGGAAAAGTGGGGCTAACCCAGTGGTGGCAGAGGGGCCTGCAGACTCCGGCCCCAACATCTCTGAGAATTGATCCCTGGGCTCCAACTTAGAGGTTTTCTATTTTAATTGTTGACTTGTAATGATTCTTTAAAAATGTTTATTTTAACTCATATGTATGGGTTTTTGTCTACATACTACATGTGTGCCTTCCAGAAGAAGGGATCAAAGCCCCTGGCACTGGAGTTACCAATGATTGTAAGCCATCATGTGGATGCTGGGAATCGAACTCAGGAGCTCTGCAAGAACAGCAAGGGCTCTTAAGCTCCGAGCCATCCAGCCAGTCCCTGAGTTACAATAATTCTTTAACAGGCAAGGCAGCTGCCAATCCCTCTGTTTTGTGTGGCTGCATCCACGAACTGTAATGTAATGTGAGCTGGAGGTTGACTGGGACTAGGCCTCCCCCACCTCCGGGCTCTCTCATCTCTTATAGACTTCAAGTCTCTATTACTTTCTAGGAAGGAAAAAAGGGTTCAGGGAAATGATGCCAGAGGATTTTACCAGGCTAGTTATTGCAACCAAGTTGAATTCAAGGTCACAGGCTATTCGTGGATGGATTATCCTCATTTCGTTCAGAATGAGAAACCATTAGCAGACTGTGAGTTTTTCATAAGAAGGGATCAAGAATGTATCTATAGGATTAGAGCACTTAATGGGTTGTTTTTGGTGGAAAGAAATCATAATGTACTAGATGAAAAAGGTCCCAAGGGTTTTGGCACCAGACATAACTAAAGAGTCTAGGCTGGGGCCGAGTCTCTGGAAAAGCATCAGCTTGTTCCAGATGGGGAAGTATTGAGGTGATCATTTTCACTGATATTAAAGGAGAAAAATTCGGGTCAAGTGCCTGGAGATGCAGTCAGAATTTATACAAATGGCAGCTATTGCTGACTACGTATTTATGGGACTCCACTGTCCAAAAGAAACATGCAGACTTTCCAGTAAAGGCAAGAGAACCCACCCTGACCCAGAAATCTGAGTCTGAAGGTTGCTCAGCTCTGTCGAGATGTTTCCCATTGATTTTAGACCTCGGGAGAAGACTTAATTTCTAAGAACAGGAAACGAGCAGCGAACAAATTGAGTGATTTCAGGAACTCTTGAGTTTCTACGCAGTGTTTACACAGAGCTCAAAGAATTACCAGGTGGTAGTGGAAGACGTAGGACTCTAATTTGAGCTGATTCAAATTGGAAGGCAGGACACCTGGGCTGTAGCTCAGCTCTGTCCCTGACTTGCTTGCTGCATGACTCGGCCAAGTCTCTCTTGGGACCAGATGCTCCCCCACATCCTTCCTGAGTGCTCCCACAGAATCATGACCTCGATGTTTGAGCTGCTGACCTGCGCACCATACCCTCAACCCCTTTCCCTCTTGGTTCTGTACCTCACCTCTTGCCTCTCCTTTCATCTCCCTTACCTCTTTTCTTTCTCCCACTTCTCTTCTATTTCCTCATCACCCCCTTTTCCTTACTGACTTATGTTCTGCTTGCTTCTCAGACGTTAGCCTCAGCCTCTGCTTTTGTTTCTTCTGTAAACTTCCTCTTGGGGGTTTCTTGAAACTAGAGGCCTTTTTGATTACTGATACATTGACATCTAGACCTTTTCTCTGGGCTTTCAATCCCTGGGTTTATCCATGTAGCAAGTATTAATTGAGGGCCAACTATGTGTTAGTATCTTAGACACAGAGACTCTAACAGCGAATTAGAGAGGCAAAGCTGTGCGTGCAAGCAGATTACAGTCTGAGGTGTCTCCGTGTGAATAGTATGCATATGGGGAAGAATGTCGAGGGATGCATTTGTGTTCTCCGGGGTGTTTTGTGGACACGACTCAAATGCAATATACCACCCATCAACAATCCTTATTTGGACACTTTTGCATTCACGCATTCATTCAGCAATGGTCATCACTACTACCCCTCCCCCCAAGTCCTCAAAATACATCTATTCAAGGACTGAATCTTCTCAATGCCTATATCTCTATTGCTCCAGGTGGGTCCTAAGTAGTTCTGAAGCATTACTTAGCTGGGCTTCTTAGGGCTACTCGAAAGTCCTGTTGTCCCATCCTTAGTGTGGCCCTCTTAGCTGGCAGGCAGTCTCTTTGCTCGTATGGTTGAGGTAGTACTAAGTGACTGCAGAGGCCCAGGCTGCGCCTCACCCCTGCCTCGGTCAGGCATGCTGTTGATGGGCCCTTTCCTTCACTGAGAGCTCTTCTCTGTAAGAGGAGGGCTACGTGGCCAGTTTGCAGGTTAGAAATTATCTGTGGGATGTGCACGTGACAGGTGCTCAGTAGATGGAAGCTATCATTAATGTGATTAATTACTGCGATTGCACACACCTGCAACCTCCCCTCTCCTAGCCCCAGGGAACTCCCTCCTCCTAGAAGAAGCAATCTAGATTTTTCTCTTTGTACTTCTTCCGTTACCCATGAATCACCACGCCCTCCTAAGTCTTTAGTGTCCTTTTCCTAGTCTCTTGGGTCTCCTCCCTTCTCCAACCCTTTACTTGAACAATGCACTTCTTTGACTCTCTGACCTCTAGTGTGGCAAAGAGTCTGCACCCCGCTTCCTCTTCATCTCCCGGTGAAGCTCCACTGCTGCCCAGATCCTCTCTTTGCACACAGCCCAGAAGCCACTCTGATCAGCGTGGCTAGGACTGACCAGGAGTGCTCACAGCCCTATGCCTCCTCTCTCTTTCTGTAGACGCTGATTACTGCTCCCTCCCCCTAATTTCAGCCTTCTCAGATCTGAATTCCATGACACAGCACTCTTATGGTTTTCCTTCTCCCCAAACAGGTCCTCTCTCTCTCTCTCTCTCTCTCTCTCTCTCTCTCTCTCTCTCTCTCTCTCTCTCCCTCTCCCTCTCCCTCCCCCCCCCCCCCCCCCCCCCCCCCCCCCCCCCTCCCTCCTGGTTCCCTTCCTTCTCCAGGCAAACTCCCTTCTCCTTTCCTCTGCTCCTCCCATGGAAACCTCCCATCTGTGCCTACCAATCTAGGATCCCTAGTTAGACACAGAGACACACATCTTTCTCTCTAAAGCCTGCAGATTTTTAACCCTCTGCTGTATAGCATCACACATGCCATTTCCAAGTCAGTCTCTGGAAAATCAATCCCATCCTTGCCGGGCTCCCATCTCGTCCTCCAGCATGTCTTGTTTAAATCCCTTCAACTGAAAACTCCCGTCAGTATTTCCCATCAGCACACATTCACGCACTTACTCATCGTGTGTTCTTTGAGTACCTGCCATCTACCCGGCACCGCGGAAGAGGACAAGGGCATGCTCAAACACTGGTTTGCACAGCCTTCCGTTATTTGGTGACTGTGATTGGGATAGAGGCGCACGGAAGACTTCTGGTGTCCACCCCACCTCC